GGTTTCCAAAGACAAACGTATAATCATTGTGCATGCTGGTAACGAAAAAGATTACGTCCCTGACGCGCACAAATGTTTGGGTTCTGACGGAGATTGACGGCTTCGTCAACAACTGATCCGGAACATACCTATCAACAGCGTTTTGGTAATAGATAATGCATCGTACTATATAACAAATCGTCAGACAAACCGCGAAAATCAAATACTCCAAAACTACAAATGATTTTTTTTACAGAATTAGTGTGAGAAACAAGCACACAGTGCACCCTATGGTAAGTAGATGCTGTGGCCCATGGACGCATTTATCTTCAATTAGAAATCGAAATGCAGATACACAAATATAGATACTCTTACGTGGTAGAGCCATGCTGCAGTTAAATTAGTAGTATAGTTGGAGCACGAATAGGTCGGCTCGATCGGGGAACGACCACGCTCTCACAGAATACCAGCGTCAAATAGCAGCTTAATGCTGCTGTGTTTCGTATGGTAAGTGTAGAGAACCGGAGACCCTTTTTACTGGAAACGAGGCATTCTATCTTAGTCCTCACGGATGACAACGCATCTGCATTTTGATTCGTAATCGAGGATAGATGTAGATGTCTATGGGCCACAGCAACCACTTACCATCAGGTGGGCTGTGTGCTTGTTTGTCATCCTACTCTATATAAAAAAAGATGCGTTGTCACCCCTGAGGACTAAGATGGAATGCCTCGTTTCCAATAAAAAGATCTCCGGTTCTCTACACTCCATACGAAACACGGCAGCATGGAGCTGCTATTTAACGCTGGTATTCTGTGAGAGCGTGGTGCTACACCGGTCTAACGCATAAATTAATAAAAACATGTGTGCAGTTCACACGTGGTAGAAGTATTGTAATAGACATGTGTCAATCGTGAATGATTCGTTCGTTTGAACCACTACATTTAAAACTCACATCAATGTAAGTACCTATAACCAACTTTTGTTTATATTAACATAATACCAGGTCAGTGTATTTTGATAGTACATAGTTATGTTTATCTATGATTACAATCATTAGCAATCGTTAGTTATAATATCTAATATAACGTAATCTATTACAAAATTTGACTTGCAATACCTATAGCCTCATGGTTTTTTGTTTTGTGTAAACCAAAGACATTCAAGTAATAGTAGCAATAGATCGGATATCATCAACAAAATGGTCATCATTTATGTTATTTAGTCTACTGACATAGTCAATGCATTAGTTTCCTAAAAAAATATTTTTTAAAGAAATATTCCCGATTGTGCATTATTGTAAGTCCTGATATGGAGCAAAAACTGAATGTGATTTCGGTTTATTATCGCAAGTATAATGACATATTTACCCAATAAATAAATTAAATTAATGAAAAATAATATATTTATGTACGTAATTTTTAAATTCTATTATTTCTGTTGGATTATTTTAGAACATTTATCATCACTGTAATAAGCGCCCTCTGTTATCAGTAATACTATTTATTACCAAATTAATTAGTAATTGATAATGTTTACGGATTGGTGCTATCGATAGAAATATTATTCAAGATGCCGATTTAATCATCTACTATTTTTAAGGAGGTGAAACAGTAAATGTTACTATACCAATAAAGAATAAAGAACTTATTAGCATATCCTATTAGGAAATAGCTGAAATGTTATCCTAATAAATAATCAGAGTAGTTTTGCTATGTTTAGCTAGAGGGCGTCACACACGCGCGAGTTGAAAGTTTTTGTATGCAAATGTTTTCAATGTCCGCTCTATAGAATATATTTAAATCTCTTTGGTATAAATGATATTTCAATAGAAGTCACACTGCCATCAAATGATCTTCACAGAATTATAGTCTAGTTTTTGTGGACAATGTATTCGGGTATCTTTTTGCCAGTTTTAACTACATTTCATTTTAACATTTCTCATATTTAAATCAGTTGGCACTTGAATCCATAATGGTACTGACAGTCGTGCTCAAAAAAAAGCACGCTCATCGGCTTGCTTAAAATTTGCATACTTCTTATGTTGTAATAAAAACTTGTTGTGTATACGTTCTTATGCACGTATTTTTGCATTCAGGCTCAACACGCCAGTGATAAAGATGATAACTACAACATTATCTAGTATCTTATTTTTTTTTTCAAAATCGGCAAAATTCTAGGGCAGTGGCGTCAAGTATTGAACAGCATGGCGTCTAGCGTTTTCACGCGTAAATTTAAAACGATGGATTATAAGTAATTTTCATGGCACTATTCGGTTTTATAAAATTTATATAAAAATTATAGTGATTCATTATCACTCTAGGATCCATTTAAAACACTTTTTGAAAATGGGTGTAATACACTATTTACACCAATCACGAGTTCAAAAGGTTCTGTCAATTGTTAGTGATTGGTCGAACCGGAACATTCAAAACAGAAGAATGAATCATCAATACTTTTAAGTTTCTCGGTTGAAACGACAAATCATTCACGATTGACACGGGTCTAGCTCTCACTAACTGACGGTAAATGTACGCTATGGCCCCATAGTCATCTACATTTACCTCGATTAAGAATCGAACCTCGCCACTGGGGAATAAGATAGAATGCCTTGTATCCAGTAAAATGGGTCTCGGCTTCTTTACACACACCATACGAACAACAGCAGTATTAAGCTGCTATTTTAAGCTGGTATTCTGTGAGAGCATGGTTCTTCCCCGGTTGAATATATCTGCAGTATGGCACTACCACGTACATACGTGCAACCAAATACAAACAAAGAAAGCCATGTCACCTCAGAGGGATAAGAGAAAATGCCTTACACTTTTTAATTATTTTATTGGCCTAAGATCGGAACACAGCAGCTCATGTACTGCCGCTTGGCGGAAGAAATATGTAAGAGAACATACCCCAGACAGACTCTTATACAGACAAGGAATCATATTAATATAGTGTCCAGCAATGGAATTTCAGAGGCTGAAGAAAAAGAAGAAGAAAGTGAGTTTTATTTACCTGCAAACTGCACCTTGATTCTTTCTAAGTTTACAATTCTTGTCGCAGCACATGTCGTTATCTTCGGTACCTGTTGGTGAATTATTTTATTACTGGAGTTGTTTCATGTTTATGAAAGGTATTACAACCTATTTCAATGCTTCCAATGGTCCTTCGAGCCGACCCATTCGTGCCCATCTATACAGCTGCAGCGTGGCTTTACCATCTATTGAACGCTTTATTTAGTAACGGCTGTGTAGGGAGTGCTAAGAGTATCCGCTGAAGATTCGGTTGCCGCTTTCGATGAGTCAACGTGGTAACGATAACGCACGCAAATAAACTAGAAGATATGGCTATGTTAGACCGGGACATTAAAGTATTATCCTGTTTTTTTGTCATTATAGGATAGTGTTCCGGTTGTTTAAAAATATTTAAATCAAACCTATCTCTGAGGAAATTCTTTTCAAAATAAAAACATAGCAAATAAAACTGTTACCAAAAAATAAATCTTGCATCCCAATTGAATTAATCTATGAAACTGTAGTGCGACTTGGAGCAGCATAAACAATTTGTCTTTGTGACATCACCCTTTAAGTAATGAAAATACATGTTATTGATAGGCTGTTTGCTTTATACTAAAGCTCACCAAGAAGCCCGGCATCGCACTCCTCGCCGCCTTCAACTCGTAAATTCCCGCAGAAACTCTCCTCTGGCTCGGAGAAACAACGCCCAGACTTAGCTTGTAGTACTTTTCTGATGGACCTCAGACTGCATGGTGAAAACCTCTGAAGAGAACGAAAGAAATAAAATGTTTTTGTTTATATATTTTTTTTAATTTTTACACGTTGTTTTTTATCTGGGAATATTTGCGCGGTACGAGTGTATATATATCATCATCGTTCTTACAGTTCTAAGTCATCCGCATCATGTCACCATGTGGATATCATCATTTAGCCTTCTCTATAGCTCGCTGAACATTAGCACCCCCATACGGCCAGCAGTGACGGATCACGCCCATATGTCTTCACTGGCACATGTGTATATGTAGGTAAATCGTACATAGATGCAATTGCTTGTCCTAAACTACCCGAAACTATAAGTTATAAATCATTCATACATAGGGACGTTAACAAAATATTTAATCCCGAAAGTCAACAATCAGCTTTATTTTGCACGAAAACCCGCGATCAAAAGGGTCATTCTACAAGGATAGGAGTACATGACAAGCTGACAAAGAATGCTTGAATGTTATAAACAAGAACGCTACTTTGTCTTCCACATCGACCCTTTCCAATCGACGAGATAGCGATTCCTTTACTTATTTAGCATACATCGCATTCGTCATTCTCGGAATGAGGGCATCCACGGCCATTTTTCCATCAGGGTGGCACCACATACATACATACATACAGATTACATGGCTTTAAGGTTTATTTGTATAGGAAAGTATAAGTTTCTGTAATATCAGTCATATTGCATATTAATAATGAATAAGACAAACTACTGATATTCCGAAAAGTAGAAAACAAAAAAAAGAGTTAAAATATGTCAAAAATATTAAGAAGCAAACCACAGAGACATTATTTTATGTATTTGTATGATAATATTATATAAATTCTCAATACGACATAGTGAACCAAAAAACTTTACTACAGTCACACAACATCAAAGCGACATCTAGTGAACACAAGATTATTAGGCCTGATTGCAAGCACGTACCTTATTGTTGACGTCATATCCGCTGACGCTGTACGTGTACATAAGGTAGGAGCCGCCCTGGCTGGCCGTGGGTGAGCACTCGGCCACGTCGGGGTCGTGCTCCGAGCCCCAGTTGTGGCCGAACTCGTGCGCCGTTACCAGATCTGCTTCGCGAGTTATCACGCGCTGCCCGTAGTGGTTCCGAGATGAACTCAGCCCAGAGTTCAGGTATAGTGTGTAACCATTCTTGAAATACTCTGTCGAGGTACGGTGCATGTTAAAGTGTGTGTTTGTATGTGTGTGTGCTCTTGCCATGGCGCATTTACATTATAATAACCATCGACCCATTCTTTCCATTATATGTCTATGTTATCCTGGTACACAAGTATCATGAGAAAACCTCAATATATAAATAGAATTTAGTGTAAACTTAAACACACCATAGCTGGACGCTCAGAATACAGAAAAAAAAACCAGAAGCCGGGTTGAGCTGTAATTATATACCGCACAATGCGTAAAAAAACAAAACAAACGTACCGCTCCTGTCTCACTTTCCACTCGCGTAATATTGCTAGCTTGGAAAGTTTATAAAGTACTTACCTCTTTTTGGGGTAACATTAGAGGTATGATAAAAAACTATAGAATACTATAATACACAATAGAATGGCTGTCAACCTTATTTTGTAGGAGGATTGGCGTCGCCGGGAGCACACATACAAGCAATTACGTCGTATTATCAGTTATCCCTACTACAAACACATTTTAGACTTTTGATTAGTTTTTGACACATAAATATATCTTTATTCTTGTTTCTAATATTCACAAAATATAAATAGTTTCGACTTACTGATTGTAGAATGTTTCAAATTCCATTTCCCGCTGTTCTTTTGACACGTAATTATTGCACAATTTGCCATTTTTTAAATAATTTGCATGCAGCGCCGCTTGACACGAAAATTGGAGACGATTAATTGTGTTGACATTTATACGTGTTAATGACATGTTAGTGACATGTAAGTGGCTACACGGGCTCCGCCCACTCCCCCGTTCTATTGTGTATGTATTATAGTATTCTATGATAAAAACCATTATTATCCATTACTAAACGTATTAATTTTATATAAATAGTAATATCAAGAAATAAAAGTTTAAATAAAACACGGTTTCAGTAAGAACCTAAACATTCAATTTCCTTTTTTATGAATAAGCTTTTTAAATATTATCTTAAATATCATGTTATGACTATTATATTAAATATTATGCATTTTTTAAAATTTGAACTAATTAGCAGAAATATACAGTTAGATAAATAATGAAAAACTCCTTTATTAAGTCTTCTCAAACCTCGCTTTTGTCAAGAAAATATTTTTTCTTAAAATGCATTGCAACTACGGTTCGCTTTGACGGTTTCCGAAATTCTTCCAGCCGTGCTTGTTGTAATATTTTTGTCCTTTCTGTTTTCCATTTCCTATGTGATTAGTTGCAGAAATAAACTATATTATTTCGTAATCCAAAAAAGTTTTTAGTGATGGAAATGTACATATATTATTATTTGGCTGAAAAACTTCACTTTAACTAATTAAAAAAAATTATACTACGTAATCAACGTACTATCTATGTACATTTGTATTTTATATTAAAGCCCCTTTCGATACTTAACTTCTAATGCTATTAGTAATTAAAATTAGGAAAAAAATATTCACGCCAACATAAGAAAGCAGTTAAATAATATTTAATAAACTAAATTAATGCCGTTTAATATCACCACTAACATGGCTCTCAATTATTTAAAGTAGGGAAAAACAAAACTGTTATATCGGCAACACTAAAAAATGGACTAGTCTAATACAATTACGAACAGAACAAATAATTCAATTCAATTAATATAACTTAATGCGCTACTTGCAATGAAATGTGATCCCATCCCATTTCTTTTGAAACCTAACAGCTTCTTTACAGGTAGAGATGGAACAAGACGGCATAATTTAATTAAATTTGACACTGGCAAAATAGGTCACGCCATACGACGTTCAAAGTGTGACTATATATCTGAACGTGAAACTACACTATTTATGTAAGTGTAGTTTTCGTTGCTTCAGTTATATGCACGTTCGCAGGTTCTGGTTTTTCAGTATTCTGAGGCTGGACGATATATTATAAAGTTTACTGAAGCATACAAATACATAATAGATCATAATATATTGTATAATGATACAACAAGAATAATAAGGGTAAGTACCAACTTTCATTGTTATAGCTTAGTAAATAATAAATACATAAAAGTAAGAATATAAATATATGCATAACAGATAAAATGCTAAGAAGTTGCCTAACATGCAATTTAAAAAAAATTACATGTTTGAATATTGATAAAATACTGATGCGAATATTGTTTATTGTTCTGAATTATAAGTAATAGAAAACTTGTATTCACAATGAGACTTTTAAATAAGTAGAAAATATATTTAAAGTATAAAAGAGATTTTTAAATTGCATTAGGGTTACTTCTAAAAACAGATAATACAAATTATAAAATATTATCTACTATATAAAGCAAACTAAAACAACATAAGACACTCACATTTCGCAGCGAAATGGCTGAAATAAAAACAAAAATAGTAAATAATTAAAAGAAATACTCACTAGTAAAAGCAAAACAACATCTATTACATAGGCAGTAAGTAAAAATTGTCTTAAAAACAAATATTTTTTGATAACATAATATTAAAAGAAGTAACAAACACAGTGACTCGCATAAGTATTTTGTTTAAAATAATAAACATTGAAAAAAAAACATAGTAAAAATTAGTGTGAGTGCAATTCGGTAAGCCTGCAGTACACACATCTTATTCTGTGATCGTCATTATGACTTTAGGAGACAAGATTGGAAATAAAATAACATAGAAATATATCTGTCTAGTTAAGAAATAAATATGCTGAATTATGTGGTACATTGAATTAAATTTGACGACTCCGTGGTGACTGGCTGCGCTGGGGGTCGCGGGTTCGAATCCCGCACGGAACAAATATTTGTATGGCCTACAAATAATTGTTCCGGGTCTGGATGTTTGTCCTTGTGCAATTTATGTTTGTAAACTGCCTCCACGATACAGGAGTCTTAGTGTAGGGGTAACGTTTAAAAAATTGAAATTGAATCAGGCGTTCATTATGCGATTATACGATAATATTATGATATAATAAAATTGTCTGTCTGTATTATCGAAATAACTGGCTTATATTAAGCTGAGGGGGTTGTTCTCAATGGTTTATTATTTTTAATTTATATTAATGATTTGCCGAAAATAGTCAAAGCCCCCTGTACCTTGTTTGCCGATGATCTTTCTGTAGTCATACCTTTCGACAATAATACTAACAATTAACAACTGTCTAGATAGTGTACTTACAGATATCTCTACATGGTTAAAAAATCCCAATTTCGTCATAAATTACACAAAAACTAAGATAATACAATTTAAGCCGTATCAAAAATGTCCCCTATCTATAAATTATTCTTACAACGATACTAAACTAGAATGTGTTGATTCATATACATTATTAGGTATAAACAGATTCAGGTATAAATTGGAAAGAACACATAAAGAAAGTATCATCTAAACTTTCCCGTTTCTCGTATGCACTATACGAACTTAAAAAAATTATAGATTCAAGAACAGCCACGTGTGCATACTATGCTCATGCCCATGCATGGCTCAAGTACGGCATTTTACTGTGGGGAAACAGCACAGGCACGTAAATAAAATGTTTATTTTACAAAAAAATGTATCCGCATAATTACATACATAGATAGCACTGACAGCTGTAAACCCTACTTTACTTCATTAAAAATATTAACAATTACATTTATATATATACTAGAAGTATGCATATTTGTTAAAAAGAATATGCACCTTTTGTCAATATACTCCCGGTCTCATTTTTTACGTTCTAGTATAAGTAAAGTAGTTTAAGTAAGTAGTTTAAGTAATTAGCTCCACCTATCACAAAATTACAAACAGTTAAATCAGGACCCCATGGTATGTGTGTAAAAATTTATAATAAAATTCCCAAATGTCTACAAAAAGAAGAATCGTTGTATAAATTTCAAAGAGAGCTTAAAAAATATTTAATTGAAAAAAGTTTCTATTTGTTGTCAGAGTTTTTCGGTGAAAAATAATAATTGTTTATTTTGAATATGTATACCTCCTTAATATCGTTGTAAATATTGTGCTAAAAGTAATGTAGTAGTTTAAGTAAGTAGTTTAAGTAAATAAAATAAAATTCGTCTTTCTAAATTGATTAGATTAAATTGATATATAACATAATATAATATAATATTGCTACGCCCTATCAGGGCTCATGTTTGGCTCTAATAACTTAAGAACTATTGTACCCGTGGTGGGCACAAGCACACAGTAAGCCTTATAGTCAGAAGATGCTGTGGCCCATACACATCTACATCTGTTCTATCCTTGATTAAGAATCAAAATGCAGACGCATTGTCAGCCCTGAGGACTAGGTTCAAATGTCTCATTTCCAGTAAAAACAATCTTCGGTTCTCACATAAGAAACACAGCAGCTTAATGCTGAAGCTACTATTATACGCTGGTATTCTGTGAGAGCGTGCTCTTTCCCCAGTCGAGCTGACCCATTCGTGATATAACCATACTAGTATGGCTCTACCACAAATGTGCAATATGCAAAATTTGTATATATTTATTAAAAATTGTATATATTTATTAAAATTTGTATATATTTACAATACCCATACAAATTTTAATTTGCATGTCAATATAAGACAGTAATTTCGATGTTAGAGACCGGACACTTCAATTTTATTTATCATGGAGATGATATTTTTAAATTATCCAGAAAAAACAAAGAGTAATTGTAATGACAAATGTGCGAGATATACAGTAATTGCCAATCTCCATGCAAAGTTGGCGATAAAGATGTCTTTTAGAGAAAAATTAAACTGTGGAGTGTTTATGGGCTGATGATGACTGTAAATGAGATATTTAGAAGTTTAATTTTTAGCCTTTATTGACAAAATAGAAAAATAAATACCTGGAGTGCAAATGCCGCCAACCGAGTTCCTCCTAGGCGACCCGACATAAGCCAAGCCCAGGATACCACCCTCAAACTTGAGGTCAGTGAACAAATGCGCCAGACAGAAATCCTTGTGGGAATATTCCCGACTAAATACCTGGTAAGATAAAATGTAATCAATTATTAATAGAAACTGGATAACATACAGTAAAAATAAAGAAACACCTATATACGTCCCACAGGTGGGCATTCTTCCTCTCATATTTGAGAGGATTTTTATAGCAAGGTAGAGTCCGTCACGGTAACGTAATTCGTGTTTGCAGACTTCATATATCTTTGAAATATTTTATTTTTATTTTTCAGACCCTACTGTGAAAGAAAACATCATGGGCAAACCGAACAGTGTGCCCATGATGTTTTCGTTTAACACTGAGCATGTGGTAAATCAGCACTTAAAATTGCAATACAACATTCAGAAACAAAAACAAACTTCACAAGCACACAATCTATCAGATAAACAAACATTATACAGATGCAAAGCAGGAAGAATTTCATACGTTGATCTGTTATTACCTTTCTCTGTCACTCCCGCGTAAATATAAAGCAACTCGCTTGCACAGACAGCAATGACCGCCGTCCTCAGGGATTGTAAACGGTTTACCTGAGACTGTAAGGTTTGTTTGAACGTGGTATTTGGTTGGCCTTGAGGCACGACCAAAAATCCTTGATTTGCTTGACATAATTAATAATTTTTAAATAACGAACAAACGACATTCCATTTTGGGATGCGTTAGTGATCGCTCAGTTTTCGGACACAGTTATCTCTGTTATCTATTCTTAGTTTGTTGTTGTTTGTTAATTTTAGTTATCTTGTTTTAATTGTTAAGTGGTTTTGTTAAGTTTAATGTAGACAAAACTGTTGAGTCTTTTGTAATAAATGTGACAGGCGGAACGTCATCGGAAAGTAGGAACACTGATACAGAGAAATCGGATTCTGATTTTTGAATTTTCATTTTTTTTATTTCTGCCAAATTAGTAATTGTAATGGACGACACACACGGTCAGTTCAACTGATCATTCCAACTGATCAGCTTAAACTACGACTGTTGATATTTTTTAAAGTATCGGATTTTAGATATATATATAAATAAACTTATATATAAAACTCCGATACTGATATATTTATAATAATCGATTTATCGAAAATCCGATATTTTAAAAATATCAACAGTCCTAGTTTGAACTGATCAGTTGAAATGATTAGTTGAACTGACCGTGTGTGGCGACCATAACTCGATTTTTATAATTGTTTTTATAATGATTTCTTATATTTACGCGAACACAACACAATGATTAAAATAAACAAGGAGGCTGAGTAGTACCACCTGCTTGGGACTCTGTAATTAATACAATTAAAACTAAACCCAAGTATACCGCTGCAAGACTTCAAGACACAGTAAGTTCATTCTGCGTAGATCGGACCATAAACAATAATTAAAAAGCTGAAGGTACTCCGGGTTAACATTGACATCGGGACGTCAGTCACCTCAGTCCCCCGTGACCATGGGTGCTGGTAGGCACCGAAACGTAAGAAATTAAAAATCATATAAAGTTAAACGCGATAAAATCCGTAAAAGTAGTTTTAATCAACTGTTTTTATACTAAAATCAAAATAAATAATTTATATAATACCAATAATTTATTTAATACGATAATAAATTAATTTTTTTTCCTTCAAATATTTCATAAAAATTACAAATAAGGTGGCACAAGTCGCGGGCTCGAACTCATTGGTGGGCGCGGCCAAAAAGCACGTTGTCTCACCTGGCATCGTGCCCAACAGAGATAGTATCAGTGAAGAGCAGTTAGAACGCACGTCTTGTTCGTACGGCGTTCCGAACCGTTAGAACAAAAACGAAGTTACACGAACACGATGCACACATACATACCACCCTATTCTGTGCCGCTCGACGCTTGCTGAGAAATCAGCAGTACCTACCTACAAACTAAATGTATACTTATTTTTACTTACTTATTTTTATTTATTTATTATTTTAATAAATAAATAAAAATAAGTATTAATAATTTCTAGACACATCTCAACAGATATTTCGTTTATAAATTGCTATCAATATTGAAGCATTCTTTTATATTTAGCATCCATTTAACACAAAGCTGATAGGAATACTTTTTAAACAACATAATATAATCAATAAACGATAATCGCGTATAGTGAATTTCGAGGTAAATTATTATATGTAAACGTTTTTGAATCGTCATAATGAAACATATTTCCTAAAGAAAATATTTTCACAATTAATTTGATGTAAAGTAACATTAGAAATAACGTATAAAAGTACACAAACAAAAATGGCGAAATATCATTTTCAGATTTTTTTCTATATAGTTGTTACAGAGTACACAGATAAAATTCACTCTCACAAATGACAAATTTCAAACACCACAATCTCTAATTTTTTACTCTGCTATCTTCAGCGCTGTACACGAACGGAACGATGTCGTTGAGAGCCGTGGTAGCTCACATGGTTAGCGCTCGTTTAGGTATCACAGTACGGGAACAACCCGGGTTCGATCCCCAATGGCACCAATGAAATTGTTGCGTGCTGATTTAGCTATCAGTTGGAAAGTCTGTTTTTCTGGGCCGTTTTGTTTTGTTACACTGACATCTCGCAAGTCACCTAGGGACCTAGGAGGTTGTCGGTTGCTTATTTTTTATTTTTCTTCAAAATTTTCGTCGGTAAAATAACATATTTATAAAAGTAAAAAAAAGTAAAGTTACAGCCTATATACGTCCCACTGCTGGGCACAGGCCTCCTCTAATTTCTGAGAGGGGTTTAAGGCAAGGAAATGTCCGCCACGCTGCCTCAATGCGTGTTGACGAACTTCACATTTCTTCGAAATATATATTTTTTAATTTCTCAGACATGCAGACCCGAGTTCGATCCCCGCCGGTACCAATGAAATTGTTAATTGCAATTGTGCTGATTTACCACGTGCTCGGCGGTGAAGGAAAACATATTGAGGAAACCTGCACGTCTGAGAATATAATTATAATCGAATGTAAATCAAATTGACATAGGTAAGTACAGATAAAATTAGCGGAACATTAATAAAATTTTGAGATCGTTTTTTTTTTCAAAATTTTATTTATATATTCCTCTATTTTTGTCTGTGCTTATATCAATTTGATTTAATCCAAAGTTCAAGCAGGGGTCAATGTAGCGCAGTAATTTAGAGCGCAGGTATAGCTATAGTCATACGAACGTCACAGGCCACAGCTGACTGAGTCGAATAAAACTAGAATAAGCGCGCGTCACCGCGCATGCATGTGTGTGTAAGTGTCGTCCTCCCGCACCGCACCGGGGGAAATATTATTCAGTGAGATGCACGATAATTCATATAAACACGCGCGTAAAAAAATACGAAAAGGCCTTTGGAAGGAGGGGTTTTACGAAAAAACCACTGCATGAATCAATTACCAATAAAATTTATTGAATTCTTCGATAATTGAGCTGTGTCGGTACCGACTTTGTTTTGGAAATTTTACACTGCTTTTATTACTAATTTACGCCCAAAGTTGTGTTAAAATTGGCAATAAAAACGAATCTTTGGTAGCTCGTAACTTTTTACTGACTTTTTTATTTTACTATTCTGTTTCGGTACAGACAAAATTAATAATGAGACAAAACGATATCATGTTTAACTTTGGATGTACACTGTCAAACAGCGGAGTAAAACCCCTCCGAAATTTCTATGGAAATAATGTCGACTAGAGTCACTTTAACACAAAAATGTTTGTGGTCACTGTCAGTAGGCAAAGAGGTCATTGTACGAAATTCTTCCTGCTCCGCGACTGGACTTTAATTGGATGCTGTGGACCATGAACATCTCTCCTTTTATAAGATTAAAACTGAGATAGTTGCCACCCCTGAGGACTAAGATAGAATGTCTCGTTACAAATGAAAAGGGAGACCCTTTTCATTTGCTTGTCTTTCATTTGGTTGTCATCCCTCATCATAAGAAACGCTTTATATTACTTTAAGCAGGTATTTTGTGACAAATGTGTTTCTTCTTGGTCGAGTCAACACATTCGTGTTACAGGCGTAATACACTGCAGCGTGGCTCTTCCAAGTATAAACCAATGTCTTTAAACATTTTATTCAACAATATGCTCAATGTAATGGAAATAAGATTGAAATAAGTTCGTGCTTTGTAATTAAATGCATACCTCAAGGAGATTTCGGACGTCCCACTTTTCGCGGACCATATTATAGTGAGCTTCACCGCCTCTCACCCGCGTCGGTTCCGAATGCACTAATATCTTCTTTATAACGAAACCCATCCCTTTGAAACCGTCCATATCCTGTAAAAATATATATTCCATCACATTCCGTTTGGTGACGGCGCAAGAAAATTTATCGCTCCGGTCTATACAGTGGGTGTCGTAACCAATAGAAATACCATCTTAGGTCTTCCCACAGATGTCACGCCATCTGTCGGAAGACTTAAGATCCAAGCGCCTGCCAAGCGTGGCAATTAAGGCTACTGTTACATTATTTTAATTATACAATCAAAGATATATGATTTTAGAAATATGTGGAATTTATGACAGTTTAGTTTATACATTGGACTCATATGTGCACCCATAGGACGAAATGGGGTAATATATATATATATACCGCCACTACACGATCAACCACTACCACTAAATATATCGCCACATATGGTCCCGTGGGTGTCGAAAAAGGCGACAGAGGGAGAGTGAAACAGGTGATAGGCAGCAGCATCTTGCTGATAACTCAAAATAATAAAAAACTGCGGTTGACAACTCGCTCGACAAGCAGTGGACTTTTATAGGATGTAATGGAAGGCATGAAGGTTAGAGAACAGGAGAACGATCATTACGTATTAAAGCATAGCCCGCCTGTCCTTGAAAATTGTAGAATACATAGCGGCGCTGATGTCGGTGAGTAGTGACTGTGAAGTTAGCTGTTTATGAGTACAAGTAGATGAAGTTAGTTGAATAATATACAAATTTTCTCCGTAGCATTGGTGAGAAAATTTTCATGCTCCGTAATTTTGTAATTTTTGACAAAAAGAAACATTAAAAAATGGAGTAATATTTTATTGTGCGTGGATGTGCAAGTGGTTTAGCATCTGATCGGAAAAATAGACTCAAAATGACTTTTATTGACCGAATCTCAAGCGATCGCAGCGCCTCACTCATGGTGTCCATATTTCTGGGACACTATTTTCTACGGCGATCGTTCTCCTGTTCTCTAACCTTTATGATGGAAGAATTGGATGACTCATATGTAAAGACCAAATTGAAATTCTCATATTTCTATGGATCATATATCTATGATTTACCGTGTCCTGGCGGTGTAAGAATATCCACTACCTAATATAATTCCGTGAGTGCCGTGAGAGGTGACAAAGGGGGAAAAAAGACTCCCAAATTACAATATGTTTAAGACTTAATCTTACTTAGTCCGTGAATATATACATGTAACTTGTAGGTATATTAAAAGGAACATTTTTTTTTATAGAAATAGGGTAACAAACGTAGTTCACACAATCTCACCTGACGTGGTAAGTGGTTAGCTGCGGCCCATAGACATCTACATCTATCCTCCATTAAAAATCAAAATGCAGATGCGTTGTCACCCGTGAGGACTGAGATGGAATGCCTCGTTTCGCTCAGTAAAAATGGATTCTATCCGGTTCTATACATGTACTCTATATATCATAAGAAACATGCATAGATTTTAAATAGTGTAATTAAATGCTCGTAGTTTCGCGGCCAAAACGAGCCATATTAGATGCCCCTCACCTCAAGTGCAAACATTAAAGCAAAGTATTTATTTACTGTTATTTCTACACTAACCTGTCGATCTTGCCACACTGTGTCGTTGTAGATTTTATGTACGCGGTCGATAAGGCTTATCTGAAATTTAAATTAATCAAATTATTTGGTATCTTAATAAATGGATTTTACAAGCTTTAACATTTTTAGACAAACATTTATAATATTTAACTTGCAGTAGCCTACAAGCCAGTTAAAATAAAGGATTGCGTAAGTGAAAATTTTCGGAATAAAACGAATTCATAAAATAATTAAGCTACGCACGAGATAGCTGATAGTGGTCTTTGTATTACTGGCTCCCATTTCTTGAAAGAATCTATAGTCAGCGACGAGCAACAGCGGACATCTTGTTTTCGTTGGTGTGTATTCATAGTCGCTTTGCCTCTTAACTCTTTTGTAGTTAGGCGCACCTTCGTCTTCGAACTGAGGAATAACCGCCTCGTGTTGGGCGCCCTGAGTATTTTCCAGATATTTGTCCTTTTCAGATTGTTCCTGCTTTGTTTCTAGAATGTCGTTGTAGCTGTCATCATCGTCTTCCTCCAATTCTGTAATTCAATCATTGTAGTTAAATAAAATCGTCAGTACCTCAAGTAGTCTTAAAGTTGAATTATATTTGTAATGCACATAATATCTTTTTTTTTCTGATTATATGTATATTGATAGCTCTTCGTCGGTGACCGAGCTCTTTCCGATCGGCTTTACTCACTGGCACTGCAGAGATGATGCATATCTTTGCCATCCATACCATCTGGATGACTGGCGATTCACCACTGTGCAATTTAAAAGGAGTTTTCTTCCTCGCGCAACTTCTTTGCGGAATCGACTACCACCAGAGATTTTTATGGACCGATACGACTTCTGCTTAAGGCTCGGTTAACATTTTGAGAAGTGACAAGTGCGAGTGGCAAGTGCAACTGAGAAATGACAAGTGCTTAGTGAGTGTGAACAGCCAGTGACAAGTGATAAGTGGGAATAAAATACGCACTTGTCACTTCGCACTTGCTACTTCTCACTTGCCACTCGCACTTGTCACTGCTCAAAATGTAAACCGGGCCTAAGAGTTCATCTAGGTAGCCTGTAATTATACTGGCTCTCTATACCTTTCAGACCGGAACACAGCAGTGCTAGTACGGCTATATGGTACCACCCTCTTACTTATTTCTGCTGCCAAATAGCCATACTAGCACTGCTGTGTTTCGGTCTGAAAGGTATAGAGAGCCAGGATAATTACAGGCTGTGAGGCATTCCACGTTAGTCCTCCAAGATGAAGATGCATCTAAGGCCTTCTTTATTTGTAATTGGCTGTAGGTGTCCATGGACAGTAGCCACTTACCATTAGGTGGACTGGATTTGTATGACACATCACACACAAACATCACACAGTTCACAAAAAAAAAGGTTAAGAGAAAATGGCTGTAATATTTACAGACATACAGACAAAATATAATAAAGTTATATGACAAATATAATTATGGTATATACACTTCCAGAGATACCAAAAAAGCTAAAAAAATATATTAAAATACGTGTGGCACTCGGTGACTGCCGCGGTAAAGCTATTGCATAGCATTTTTTATCAACTTATGCAATTATAATTATTTATTTATTTTATTTATCAGTTAAGTCTTTGATATTAAATCAAGTTACACTTTTTGAGCGTGGTGACCGATAAGAAAACAATTTTTTTTTCTCTTATCGAATAAATTAGAAGTTAATATTGTTTAAAATATTTTTAATATCTTACAATACATGTAGATTATTCAGGAATTTTTATCATTGAGTTAGCAGCTAGTGTACACGCATACGTCTAGTCGCACGCACACAAACACCGTGCCGAAGTCTGCCGAGTGCCGAAGTCTGCCGAACTGAAACGACGTTAGACGATGCACGGCTTTCAACGCCACACCTCCGTGCCCGTCGGAGTGGGGAGCGTGAGGTTTTTTCGTTACGGAATTTCTGGATTCGGTCCCCGCGCTAAGGCCCGCGATAGAAGCTATGCAAAGCTTAATAAATAAAATAAAAGTTAATAATTTATGGATTCTGTGAATTTACCAACCCCTAGTTTTTCAGTTTTAAGTTTTTTTTTATAGGATAGGGTGACAAACGAGCACAAGTACCTGATGGTAAGTAAGGTTGCTGCGGCCCATAGACATCTACATGTATCCTCGATTACAAAACAAAATGCAGATGCGTTGTCACCCGTGAGGACTGAGATGTAATGCCTCGTTTCCAGTAAAAAGGGTCTCCGGTTCTCTACACTCACCATACGAAACACAGCAGCATTAAGCTACTATTTTACGCTGGTATTCTGTGAGAGCGTGGTCCTTCCCCGGTCGAGTCGATCCATTCGTGCTACAACTACTACAAATATAACTGCAGCGTGGCTCTACCACGTATAACTACTAACAAAATGGGTGTATTTACCTGAATAATGAAATAAATAATAATAATAAAAAACAATTTATCTCTGGTCTACCATACCGCTCATCCCATCTGTACCATGAAAATCTACCTAGATACCATCAACAGAAACAAAATAGACTAGTTAAATATCCGTTATTATTCATCCCCTAGAAATAGACTATATCCACAAGTATTAAGTTAAAAGTGTAATTCTTATTCCCAACCTTGTCCCTCCTTTACATAGCCGCAAACTCGTGGCCTGCTCCCATTAGCATGCGCCCAACTGAAGCGTATATCTGAGGACCGATACGTTATCATTGTACCATCCTGCTGATCTGGTAAATGACGCCAGGAAGGCTGCGAAAAAGGAGTAAATATTAGAATTTTCTCTCTTATTGTGGAATTTATATAAAAGTACATACATAAAATGCAGTAAATTGGCTGTCTCATTCTCATTCACAAATAATGATAATTGAAACTGATGATTATGTACTCCCAATTTAAAATCCCGGGTTGGGCAAAAAACTAATTACTGAGTTTTTCTGACAAGAATGGGTTCATGGAAAACATTCACAAATTGAAAATTATTTTTGGTCTATTAAACTTATTCTTTTATATTTTGACATTTAAAAGAAGTTAAAAAATACAAAAAAATTTAGAGGTTTAATTTTTTGGAAAAAACCTATGTATAATAAATAAGTATTTTTACACTATATATTGCCACACTCGATGAAAATAATCAGCGATTATCAATGTATAGCATACTATACATTATACTTTAGTAGTGCTTCGTGTGGTAATGCCAAGAAACAGTTCCCACCCTTAACATAGCATAAATGTTCATTGTATTTAATGCATATTGTACTTGCTTGACCTCCTCTACAATATTTACAGCGTTGATAACGGGTTAACCAGCCAATAATCAAAATTGGCAATTTTAAAGGGCCAATGATCAAATTTGTTATACCGCACATCATCAAGATGCCTCTCGGCCATGGGTTTCTTAATCTTACATTTTTCGGGTACAGATACAATGTCTTTTACAGGCACAATTATATTACGTTTCAGAAATCCGGCATCAATTCCGTAACGAAAGTCTTTTAGGCGATCTTGCTTCCACTTAGTATTTATTTGGTTGTCGTGTCTATGATGTAACAGCTAAGCACTGTTTATACAAATGTCCAACAACTGAGAAAAAATGTTTATATACCATCTGTAAGATTTTATACCAGTGCGATATAATGCTATTAACATATTTGCCAAATCCACACCTCCCATATGGCAGTTAGAGAGCTTGACGATCTGAGGACACTGTATGACTACGCATCCTTTCGATTCTTTTCTGAAATGTTAGATATTCTCAAGAGGAAAAGCGTCAACATAGGAACTTACAAGCCTTACATGCTTATTATCAAACCACTTAACCACACTCAATTTATTGTCATTACACACCCCTTGCGTAAAGGCCCCTCTTCCTTTTTCCATTTTAGATTCTGTCAACCTTCGACGTCGATCTTTCAACCTTCATTGTAAATAATATTTCCTCTTCTGCATCTTTTATAGACCTTCCAGTTTCTCTAACACTGTACAAATTGGTATTTGTCGTTATATGGCTCATCATATCTCTGGGGAAAAAATCGAAAAAGAACGGTCCATAGAAGACTAATTAACCGGAACTTTATGTTTAAACGTATTATTCGTTATGTCAGCTCTATGTTGAAATCACACTTTCTTCCAACGGAAAAAAAGTTTAGTTTTTTGATACATCCTCTTTTCACTTTATTAACGGAAACAGAAGGCGCAGTACATTTCCTTCATTCATGTGGCACTGAAGGTGTAACAGTCGTTATGGGAGTAGATGGTTTAACAGATGGTAAAGTTAGTACAGAAGAAATTAAAGGTATTGCGTCATAATTGCATTGCGTAAGGCTAGGGAACACGGCGTTCAGGATTCGTGTGAGAGAAACTTGAAAAGTCTCTGGATCCACATCAAGAAGGGCTTCTACACATCCGTACGAAGGGATTCCACCTCTTCCCTCGAAGGACTGGGCAATGAAGTGGGGCTGGCGAGAATGTCGAGCTTTTCAAATGATGACGGCGCTGGTGAACTCTCGACATCTCTGACTTCATAATCACTATTGGATCCAAAGAACTGGAACTAAAGACAATATGCGTCTCGCTCTTGCGTTCATTATAGTCGAAAACAAAACGGAACCAACATGCAGCTCAACCATCACCCAAATAAAAGCCAAAAAGTTATTTATGCACTATGCGGAACTCCAAATATACCAAATCAATTAAAATTTGTTAGTGTCATATTAGTAGCAATGTATGGTATTCTATACAAATAAATATAATGGCAAATAGTAGCGATTGTGGCACTGTATAGTATAGCATACATCAATATAAACAAGTAAAAATAATCCAAATATGATAACTTCCAGGCCATTTATGTTACACAATGGTTGGAATAACTCTTCACCTTTTCGATTTATGCATTACAAACCTATAATGTGTAATAAAATCACGAAAATAAGTAAAACTCACCTTGATAATAATTTCTGGCCGCATTATGTTTATTATTTTTCACAACTGATACAAATTTACAACAGATTAGGTATGTAGTGTAATTTTACGTAAAAAGAAAACTTTCAGAAATATGTTTTGTATACAAATAATGCGAATAAATCGTGTAGAAACTTAGTAATATTTTTTTAATGTCAGATGTATGATGACCCTGCTATACAAAGTCACTTTAAGGATTAACAATCATTTCTTCCAGTATTAAGATCCGTCGCCTAGTGCTAACCAAATGCTAATAGCGATTGCTTTACCAAGTTGTAGAAGTCTATGTTTACATGGTAGAGTCACACCGCTGCACAAATGGGTTAGCTTGGTTGAGGTAGGATCATATACTCACAGAATACCGTATGATTCATAGCAGAATAATGCTGCTGTGTTTTATATGGTAAGTGTAGAGAACCGTAGACCCTTTAACTGTTAACATGACATTTCATCATAGCCCTCAGATTGGAAAATGCATCTTCATTTTGATTCTTAATTAATGAAAGATGATTTTAATGAGCCACAGTGTCTGCTTACCATAAGGTAGACTGTATGCTCAATTGTCACCTTTATTCTATAAAAATGACACTCATTATTTAGAATTATAAAAGAGTTATGAATTATGATTATAAAAATTCTCAAATATGCCATTTATAAAGTAACCAGTTTCAAGAGTTGTCGTAATTGCTACACCTGACAAGGTGCAAACAACTCTATACTGTAAGGTGTTTCTTCATTATTCGACTTGAATGAAGGGCTTACAATAAGATCTTCAATTTGAGAGCTGGTTATAAATGGTTATTATGGCTGGCTGGAAATAAAACAAAAATATTTTCAAAGTTTACCTCAATATGGTATGTCTCATCTGGTGTATGTATTATTCCTGTAATCACTCCATCATCTATGTGTAACTTGACATCAGACATTGTTTCACCAAACACTCTACCAGTGTAAAAGTTGTCTCGATCTGCAAAAAAAATAAAAAAAATAAATGAAAAACTAATAGAAAAAAAATGAAAAACAGAATTTGTTGGACTTTTAATTGAATATGGCAATATTATTATCGTCTGTTTATTTATAAATATATAGAAGATATATACATAATAAATGGTAATTATGATTTGTTGAAAATTTACCAAGAAAAAATTGTACAATATACAATGGTAACCTATGCGTAGCAGTGGACATAATTTAGGACATTTTATTTATTTAAGTAGTCTATTATTTTACTGTATTCTGTTTAGACTGAAACTTAATTTGTAAACAATATATATTAAAATAGCAAACATGAAATTCTCCAACTCAAACAACAATTTTTGTAAGAATACATTATACACATAAATATTTTATATTACATTGACACAAAAAAAATATAGTAAGTATTTTTTTGAGGTTAATAATAGTATTTACAATTAATATTTATTTATTACACACAATATAAAAAAAACTATAACATAGAAAAACTAACACTAAAAATTTTAATTATCATAAAGTCTTGCTCCGCGTGGTATCGCGCCACGCACGAACGCTGGCTGCGTTTCCTCGCTGAATGGCTATACTTAGCCTTTGAGCGAGAACAGAACCAGCCCTCTTATCACCAGCAGCGACGACCAGTCGTGGATACAATTCCTTTAAGAACTTCACTGCACCTGGACCCCACATACCGATAGTCTCTACAGCAAATGGCACAAATATGTTGTAATTTTGCAAAGACTCATATTTGCGCCATTTACTTAATTCTGCTGCCTCTGATGCCTCCTCGGCTTTAAAGAGGTACCCCTGACATGAGAGGCCGCCAAAGTGTCAATGCAGTAGCATCCCACACTAGGAATTTACCTCTCTTCCAAGGGACGAAAGTCATACCGTCGGATCTCTTGGCATCATCTCTAAATATCCCACAAGGCTCTAAAACCGAGAGAATATTTATGAAGACAAGAGCCCTTCTGTTCAAACAACCGTGACGGGAAAACCTACCCGTACTTTTCTTACATCAAAGTCTGTGGAGCCCAAACTCATCGACGCTGCTACCACAGGGGCACTGATGAGGTTGACAAATTTCCGCTCCTACAGATTCCTACAGCAATGGAATTTGGGACATATGGATGGAGCTTTCCCCATCAAGCAATGTGCCGAGATTACTTGATGGGTATAGCATGTAACCAGTGACTAGATTCCTTAGTCGAAACAGAAAGAAGGCGAGCCTGATCTTGGTCCCTGTGGAGATTGTGAAATAAATCTTTCTGGATACTCCGTACCAATGGAATATCCCACTGTTTTTGTTGGTTATCTTTCAATGGGACATTTTCGCTGGGACAGAGCGTTAGCCATGTTTGCCTGGCCTCCGCAGCAAAGCGCAGGTCTACTTTATTATTTAAAATTATGCTACATAAGTTATTGACACTATGCACGGAAGCAAGAAAAGCAGGCAATGCACCTCTGGAAAGATTTCTTACACCACCAAATTTTATAGGTAAAATAACTTGATTCCAGGCTGTTGTATTTAATCTCAAATTTAGAATTTTTTCTAAAGCTATTTTAAGATCAATATCTTTTAAAAAATCTGAACATTTCCAGACTGGAAGTTAGCATATTAAGTATGTAAATTAAGGTACAAGGAGACAATATAAAATAGTAAGGGTAATATGGGAGTTTAAGATATACAATTTATTAACGTGATTTAAAAATGTATCAAATTTTGTTTTTAAAATAGGTTTGATACTATCGAAAAATAACGGAGCACGGAAGGGATTCCACATTGACAGTTTTTATTCCTGGAGAAATATGATTAAAATTTTGAATTAAAGTATCTCTGTTAGAATCAGATAAATTATTGGAAATAAATATTTCACATTTATTGGTATATGGGGTTCAAGACCAATATTTTCAAAATTTTGAAAAATATAAGTAAGATCACTGAGGACATCCTTCGGCTTGACCTCCCAGTGTACCGTCACCCAGATACTAGACATTCAACTTTGATTTCAAATTTGAAATAATAGTTTGAATTCCCAAACTGAAAAGAGCTGGACCTAATGGATCACCCTGCTGAACAACAATCAGGTACTACATTTCAGAATTTGCAAATAAAGACTAGTTAGTAAGACTATTTAGTTCTGCTTCTTTCTCTGCTAATTTAGTGTTCAGGATCACATAATATTGGACTTAGAGTAACACATGGTTAAGTTCATAATATAAATTAGAACGAATGAGAATTTCCTGCTTAAGTGAAGTCAAAAGAGAGTTCCACTCAGTAATGAAAGAAGGCCTGCACCAAGCACAATAGTTATAGGGTTCATTCCTATATCCCGCGTTATACATTAAACAAAAGCCAGAAGATCATATAGGAAATCAAGAATTCAGAAGAAGAAGCTGTAAATTTCCTAGTACTCGAGCAATCCGGGTTCCATACCCATGGGCGCCAATGAAATTATTAATTGAATTTTTAAGTGCTGATTATACCACATGCTTGGCGGTGAAGGAAAACATCATGAGGAAACCCGGATGTCTGAGATATAAGAAAAATATATTTTGAAGACATTTGAAGTTCTCATGTGAAATGCAGCAGACACTTCCTTGCCCTAAAACCCTCTCAGAAATGAGAGGAGGCCTGTGCCCATCAGTGGGACGTATATAGGCTGTAACTTTAACTATAAATTGCAAATCCTAATTTGCATCATTTATGTAGGAAGGTCAATGTAATAGAGTGCAAATTACTGCCCTAATAGCACATTAACATTGGCACAACAATACTATATTCAGTTCATATTAGGATTGCAAGGTGGCAGTATTAAAGAATGCATTGTATATCTCTTTATTTCATTACAGAATATTATTATAGATTTTTTAATTTTGCAATGACAAGAATAACATCCTAGAACAATATTTTTTAGTAAAAATTAACAACCAACAATGGCAAACTAAACTATGCATTTCACATTTGATATACACATGTATTGTTCTGAATTTATATTTTAAAAACTTACCAACATGAACAATAGTCTTTTTTCCATCACCATCAACAGTATATGCTTTAAAATTTGAATGCAATACTGAACTATGTGGATGCAATATTAATCTGAAATCTCTTCCTAGCGTCCTGAAGTGCAACTCTTTGATAGTGTTGAAGGGATGGCTTGAATGCTTAGTTCCTCTCTTTACTACATGATGGTTAAGACTTGATGAATCCAAAGTTTCAAAGTACTTTACATTGTGGTATATTGAACCTGCAATGTAAAAGTACACAACATATTTTAAATACATTTATTTCTCTATTTACAATTATATTTATTGTGGTGGCACTGTAGTGGGGGTGTAAGAATATCCACTACGACATATCAGCAGGTGATGGAAGTAAGCTGAACCAGATGGGCAGTATCAATTTCTTGATACTACCTGATAAAAAAACTGCGGATGTCAACTCGCTTGCCAAGAGTGGTAACTATGGTAAACATCTCTCTATAAAATAATCTATGGGGGAGGCCTATGTTTAGTGGTGGACTTTTGACAGCCTGTAATGCAATGGTAACGGTTACAACTTTTTTTGTACAGACAATAATGTGTATTTTAGTACTAACAATACAAACTTTCCGGTCAATTATTTTTAAATAGGCTCAAAGTTTTTATTGTAGAGTTCTTTACAAATCGTATAGTTAGGTATACTTACATTTGGCATAATAGAAATAATTAGTAATTAATATAAGAGAAACTATTAGTATGTGAGTTGTACGATCCATAATGATGGTTTCTTTTTAACTAAAAGTAATGCATTTGTACACAATAATTTTATAATTACAAATACTAAAGAGCGAAAGATTTTGTATGATTTATAAAAGAATATCTTCCAGTTCTATTGCACATGTCCATAAAAATAATAAATGTTTTAGTAAAATATAAAATTAAATGTATAAATTTGAGCTTTTTTGTCAATAATAAAAGAAATTGATCACTTTTCACGATACGTTAAAAAAAAAACTGTGTTGTTATGTTGCGATTCGCGCTTTACGGCAGGCAAAGATCTTAGACCATACAGCCACTGTGCTACGTTTTACCATAAACCTATAATGACAGTATATCTAAAAGAATACGAAACTTCATATGCGTGAGCTGTCATTCACACCATGCTACAACGCAAAAACTATAGTCTGATTTGCATTTTCTTCGCAAAACTTCACAATATGTTGATTTTAACGTAGTGATTATATACTCTTTGATGCTGATGTGTTTCATTGCGAAGTTTTTTTTGGGAAATTTTTGATGACAGCTTGACCTAGCAGAGAGTTCATAACAATCTCAAGATACATATGCAGATAAATAATCCGAGAATTATATGACCATCGAAGCACTTATGTCGTTTCATACATAGTTGGCGTGTGCAGATATGTTATACACAAAATTAGTAAAGAAAGAACTTACTAGGTGGTAGGACTCCTTTTTTTTTAGGAGAAGGGTGGTTCTGCGTTAGAACCATCCTCTTACCTATTTCCGCCGCGTAATAGCAAATACATAATTAAAGACTGTGAAGAACTCCGTCTTATTTCTCGTAAGTGACAACGTATATTTCTTATAAGTCAGCCAGTATAAATTCGTAATATTAAGAATTAAGAGAAGATAAGTAAGCAGATATCTTATATTGTTTAAATGTATCCGTTATTTTTGTTAGAGCATATGAAAATGATGCTAGGAGGTACCCATGTAGCTGGCCGCGATCAGTCGGCTTGGCGAGGCGCCTTTTAACCACCTTGACTGCGAAAGGCAGTCGAGGAGAGAAAGTCGTAGTGTTGTGTTTGTATGGCAAGGCACACCACTATATTAAAAAAAATAAAACTATTTGCAATTAAAAATAAATACAATAATAATAAGGTTGATGGATTTGACTAGAATGCGCAAAGGGCCGCTGCCTGGAGGACGCCAGGGCGCGTCTGGAGCTGGCGCTGGACGCGACTGCATGCGAACCGCCAGCCAACGAGCGCGAGGTGCTGCACGACCACCCAGCAGCTCCTCGCATCCATCATCCCCACCAGCTGGCTTGGTGTCGGCAGGGTCTTCGCGGGCCCAGCAATCGGCACCCGCCACTGGTGAAGCACGCCGCATACGTTGGACAACTCAAATGAACAGCAACGCATTGCGGGCGCATTTTAGGGCGAAAGGGGGAGAAATTGGAGGTTTTGCGTAGCGGGCAAGGATGCATCGACTTTTTGCTGAGCTGGAGCCATCTGTAACCGTCACCGAGCAAAACCTGGCAGACCGACTTCGGTATATCTTGCGCTCAAATAAATTTGATGTCACCTAACTCGAACGGCTACGACGTGAGGCTGTTCCTTCATCGGATGAAAATGCTACGGCTGAGGATGCGGCGCCACAACTTGCAGAGCAACCGGCAAACGTGGATGCCACCGTGAATACCCCAGTTTTGGTTGATTCAAACGATGATGAAACAGCCCAGGAACTGGAACTGGAGCGAATGAGGAGTACATTGGATGAGGCGATTTTGGAAACGCGCAGTACGCCTCTCGAAAATCGACCGCGACTTCCCCGTATAGCCCTCAGCAAGCGGAATCGGGCTATCGTGAGGGCTCTGAACCCAATGCTGGTAACCTATTTGGAAGCCAGCCGGGACCTTTGCGAGACGGACTCAATTCTCTTTGGCGCCGCACTGGCAGTCTGCCGTATTATTGGCGCCAAAATTTCCACGGCTGGACGCACTACTGAACAAAGTAGTGCTATCCCAGCCTGGAGAATAAGAATTGAAGAACGTATCGCAAAGGCCAGGGCCCTCATCGGCAGACTGATATGCTTCAGGTCAGGCAATACCAGGCCAAGGATTGAGCGCACCGTCAGGATGGCGTTTGCTGGGACAAATGTTAGTTTGCCGGATATAATGCAAAAATTGACGGAGCGCATAGACGACCTGAAGCAGAGAATCGCTGCTTGAGGAAAGCGGATTTGGCGATATACCGAGAGGTTGCACGGTTCAACCAGAATCGTCGCTTCCGTAAGTGGAACGGGCCCAGTACCGAATCAGGCCGACACGGTCGCATTCTGGCGCAGCCTGTGGTCAGAGCCCGTAAACCACAACGAGGGCCCTTGGACGGAAGTTATGGCGAGTCAGTGTGCGGGTATTACGCCCATGGACCCCGTCATCATAACGCCGGATGACGTAGCTGAGGTGGTCCGTAGGGCTCCGAACTGGAAAAGTCCGGGGCTTGATGAGCTACATCACTACTGGCTGAAGGGGTTCATGGTGTGTCATGCTGTGCTCGCTCGACAGTTTCAAGAGGCTCTCAACCAGAAGTCGCTCCCGAGCCTCTTCACTACTGGGATCACTCATTTGGTTCCTAAAGATCAGCGTGCCACAGACTCGAGCAAATACCGCCCCATCACGTGTCTACCGACCATATACAAGACACTAACATCCATTTTGAGCGCGAGAATCACTCGTCACCTGGACTCAAATCAGGTGATGTCGCGCGCTCAAAATAGATGTCGGGGCAGCGGTCGTGGAACCAAGGAACCACTCCTCATTGGCAAAGTGGTGAAACGCAACCGTCGGAACTTCTCCGCCGCCTGGATAGATTACAGAAAGGCATTTGACTCGGTGCCCCATACATGGCTAAAGAGGGTCCTCGAGCTGTACAAGATTAACTGTACAGTTCGAGACTTCCTCGAGCAGTGTATGGGGCAGTGGATTATGATCCTCTGTCATCTAGGCGAGCGGATGACGGCTGCGGAAAGCCGCATAAGGATAAGAAGGGGTATATTCCAGGGCGACTGTCTGAGTTCAATCTGGTTCTGCCTCTCTTTAACCCTCTCAGTACTTTACTGGAGGGCTCAGGGAGGGTATTTCAGCTTCAAAAAGGAGGTACAAAAGTGACCCACCTTTTCTATATGGATGACCTCAAATTATTCGCCTCCAGTCGCTCCCATCTTATGGAATTGCTAAACATCACTTGGGAATTTAGCAATTCTATTTGAATGGAGCTGGGGACAGTTAAGTGTGCGGTCCTCCATGTTAAAAGGGGAAGGGTTGCTGAATCTGAGGGCATAGACTTATCTATGCCCGTCAACTTAAGGACCCTTTCCCAGGCTGAAACATACCGATACCTGGGTATGTCACAGAACATCGGTATCGATGAGGCTGGTAGGAAACAGTCAGTTTGCGACGTGTTTTATGCACGCTTGACTAAAGTGCTTAACAGCCTTTTGTCCGGTGTGAATAAGACACACGCATATAACGGCTGGGTCATGCCTGTCCTCATGTATACCTTTGGCATACTCAGGTGAAGTCAGACTGAACAAAATGCCCTGGATAAAAAAGCCCGCACTACAATGACGTCCCATAGGATGCATCATCCGAGATCGTCGGTTATGAGGCTGTACTTGCCGCGAAAGCATGGTGGGCGTAGCTTCTTGAGCGCGCTCACCATTCATAATCGCGAAGTGTGCAGCCTCCGTCATTACTTCCTGGCGAGATCGGATGATCCATTCTATAATGACGTCATTTCTAGTGATAAAGGACTTACCCCTCTATCCTTAGCCAACGAGCAATGGCAAGACCCGGCAGTACAGAGCATTTCCGACCGGGAGACCGTATCGAAGGAGAAGGAGCTACACGGAAGATACTACAAGGCATACAGGAGCCCCTCGTACCGCCTCCCTCAACTGGATACGTTTCGGTGACCTCTTCGGGGAAACCGAGGGTTTTGTCTGTGCAATACAGGATCAGGTTATTAAGACCAACAACTATCGGAGATACATCCTAAAGGATGGCACTGTTGACATCTGTCAAGCTTGTCGCCATCCCGGGGAGTCACTTAGGCATGTCATCTCCGGTTGTTCGGCGCTTTCTAACTCTGAGTACGTTCACAGGCACAACCTAGTAGCCAGAATTCTACACCAGAAGCTCGCTCTGAAATACGGTCTCGTGGATCGGAAATTGCCGTATTACAAGTACTTGCCGGAAGCCGTGCTCGAAAATGACCGCGCAAGGCTCTACTGGGACCGGGCCATCATCACGGACAGGACTATTCTTGCGAATAAGCCTGATATTGTGCTGATGGACCGGGCACAGTCAGTCAAGGATATTTTTGGTCGACATTACCATTCCATATGACGAGAACCTCGTGAAAGCCGAAACAGATAAACGAACAAAATATCTGGACCTGGCTAACGAGGTGACCGACATGTGGGATGGTATGCTGGCCGAAATTATTCCTGTAGTCGTCTCTGCGAATGGGCTAATCCCAGTCAGCCTCTCGGGTCATCTGAGGCGACTGGGACTCCGTGACGGACCGCTCCGGGCTCAAATGCAGAAGGCGGTGTTCCTCGATACCGCCCGCATCGTCCGCCGGTTTCTTTCCCTTTCCTCCTAACCCTCGGCCGTTTGGTCTCCCCTGCCGAGGGCTTCCATCTGGTTGGGCTTTTATTTATTTATGTATTTTTGTATTTATTTTATTTTAATTATATTTATGTATATTTATCTTTTCATTTTAATTTATAATTATATATTTATAGAACCCAACCAGATGAGAAAACTATATAGATACCCCACATAATAATAATAATAATATAGGCTCTACAAATCTGTAACTTATTAAATGTAATTACTAACATGTTAGGCTTCACATTACCTATTTTGATAAACAATAAAATTCAATAGGTTTAATCAATTCCTTATCGATAAAAAGTACTTATCGATGTTTTTCTACCTATATCGATATTGACAACAATGAAAGTCACTGAAAATTATCAAATATTTATTAATTTACAGGTTTCAACTGACTCTGTACTAAAATTGTGACTAAAAAGCATGAAACTTGTGAATTGGCATCCAAAGCAAATTGATTATGACGTAAATTATTTGTGGTATGGTATTTTATAATATAATTCAAAGTTTGTAAAATTCCAATAGTACTTATAGATATTGTTGAAACATGCATAATATTTTGATAGCTTGTTAATTTTCTCTATTACGAAGACTAAAAGAATAAATTTACTAAATCATATTTTTTTATTTTGTAGTTACTACTACTAACTACTTCAGTTTTTCCTACTCATTAGACTTTTTAAACCTCTCGGAAGTACCATATACATACCCAATGGTGAAACCTGCAAAAAATTCATTCCATAGTTACGAAGAAAAATGTAGATAGTCTAACACAGCGTTGATTTTTGTTTTATATGAAGTATAAAGCTTGTGTGTAAGATATAAGTATTAATTGATACATTTATTTATTGTATGGCATTGTACTAAAATTATACATAAATAGAATGATAGGCCTCGGTATAGAATTTGTATCGATATATTTTGTCACACTGTCTTATTTCTATCCCCTAGGCCACACAAATCGTGATAGAATTATCGCGATAAAACTTTGCCTTTAGCCTAGGGCGAAGGTACCCGGCCACACTGTGCGTCATAAAGTATATCGCGATAAACACACGTTAAGGTGGCCCTAGTCGATAGCTCGAACTAAATGGTAGGCGGGGTTAAAATGCATGCTCTCTCAGCCGACATCACGTGCGAAAGGGATAGACGCTGTGATGAGCTAGTGCGCACACACATGCGCACCCCTGAGTGACGCAAAGCGACGGCATCATCGCGTACCTACATATTGCGATTCTTTTTTGAATGACAACATAAACTCAAACAGCAATTGAAAGCTCCCTGGCGCAGTGGCTGCCCTGGAGGCCGCGGGTTCGAATCCCGCACGGAGCAAATATATGTATGGCCTACAAATAGTTGTTCCGGGTCTGGATGTTTGTCCTTGTGCAATTTATGTTTGTAAACTGCCTCCACGATACACGAGAAAATCCTACTGTTGGGGTAACGTATTTTAAAAAGAGAAAAGGGAGAGGGAACAAATTGGTGTTATTATTAGGAACTCAATTTAGTTGTAATTATGAAAGTTCTTATGTGAATTTAAGTAGATGTTGTTATTATATAATAATTTCATTGATTTGTTTTTACCTACTTTTTAACCGACTTCGAAAAAAGGAGGCGGTTCTCAATTCGTTGTTTTTTGGTTATGTATGTTCTGTTCCCCGATTTTCGAAGATGCCTGAACCGATTTGGAAAATTATTTTTTGGTTTGAAAGAATATATACTTTCCAGATGATCCCATGGTAATCGATGATGGTCAGATCGGGATCTGATGATGGGATCTTGGAGAAATCGAGGGAACTCTTCAATAAATGACAGCAAATCAATCGCTATAACTCTCAATTAAAAATGATAACATAAAAAACTTTTTTTGAAGAAAATATAACCGACTTCTAAAACAAACAGAAAAAAGTGAAAAATAATTATGTTTTCTTTATGTTTTTGTATTTTATTGTAGGTTATGCTAAATTACTGTAGGTACTATGTATTCTAAATAGGTATTTACTTACCATAGCTAGTTAGTTGTAATAGCCCACAGACAACTCCCCGAAGTATATGCCAGCCATTGTCAGGACAACTACTTTTTCGACAGCGCGATTTTGATGTGAGTAGGGCTTTTATGTAGATTAATTAATGAAATAAAAAATGTTAATTTGTAAATTATTTATTGATTGTTTGTGTTCTATAGCGGTTTGCAATATTCTCTTAGTACTTAGAAAGTTATCAACAATAGGAATTGTGTCACTGCAGGTACAAGCACAAACGTCTATCAAAATGGTAACGTACCTAAACGGAATAGGACTAACAGCACAGTCTTTCTTACAGAAGTCCAAAGAACACGTCTAGACAAGGTAAGTAATTAGAAGAGCTATATTCATCCCGGCTTCAACAAGTGGACACGAACAAAAGGAAGCAATTTTTCTAAATAAAGATGTAAATATGTAGGTATTACAACCATAAATAGATAGCAGCGGCTAACCTAGTGAGCATGTGTGGGTGCGCGCTGCGCCCCCCCTCCGTCCGTCCCACTGATCGGGGAAATAATTTGTAGA